CTTTTAGGGACATAAATTCGCGGGGCATATAAAGTTATTCTGAATTCCTATACTTTTCCCTCGATACCCTAATACCTAGAAGAGAATAGGCTTTGCTATATACCGCACTGAAAAAAGTATATAATGTTTTGCATGACAATTAATTAACAAACATTTTATCGGATTCAAACAAAATCTATGGTATTAAAGTGGTATGAATAATCTTGGAAACAATTAATTGATAAAAATCAATTTTTAGCTATAAGTTACTTTATTCAGGAGATGTAGGGAATAAAAATAAGAATTTCTTAGTGGTTCTGCCATAACAATCTTTTAATCCTAACCCTGACAGTTCATTCAAGTAAATTAAGGTTCACAGATTTTTAATATGAATCGATAAATAATACCAGAAATTCACTTGAAATTACCAAATAATAATAATTATTATTTCCAGTGAGGTTTCCTCTTGTCGTTGTTAATAATGGTCTGGAAAAACGATCACTCCAATGTCCAACGTTTCCCACTTGAGACATGATGTCCCAATGGAACTGCTTAACTATGTGATTTTTTTATAGTGTCACTATCAAACTTCGATTGATTAAAATTATATTATCAGATAATTTCTTTTTTCTTTTCTCTTTTTAGTTGTATACCCTCAACTACACCTAGACGGTGACATTTGTGGACAAACGTGAGAAGCTGTTTCCTTTTGTGAAATATTGAAGATGATCATATATAAGATGTGAATAGAGTGCGGATTACACTAGAAAAAATTTAGAAATTCACTTGATTTGATTAATTAAGTGCAATAAGCTTATATAGTTTTCACAGATGAGACAATATTTGTTAGATATATCGATGATATCTGCAATTTTCACTAAACTCGTTCTTAGTAAAATATAGATTTGGATCTTTTATATTAAATTTTGATTTGTTTGAACTAGATCTCAAACTCCTAGTTTATTTACATGAAGTGGAATTGCAAAACGTATACAATATGTCAAACCCTAAATTTAGACAGTAATGGACGACGTGAATACTAAAGATCAAACACAATTTTTAATGACATAGTTTCTTTAATTCGCCCACAAAAAAGGTGCGTGATCATCTTCTAAAAAGAAACTAAATGGAAATGTGAGAGATCAAACCATGCAACGTGGGATAATTAATTAAATTAATAGGAAAAAAAGAAAATTATAAGATCCAAGTTGAGACTTTGTAAGGAAAAAAAAACGACTTTGAGAGACTCATATTTTAAGAATTGAATTAAAAAAATAATAATTGAATTAATTATCTATCTACTGTAGTCTCAAATATTTAATGAATAAAATATACCTTTAGACTTGAACTCTTCGAACAATGACCCAATTGCATTGGCCCTCTTTATCTATGGGTTGGGCCACCCCGCCCAATACTATTTAATTGACCACTTTGTTCGTTTAGTAAAGCTTTAATTTGTGACCCAAAACAACAGTGTACTTCAAGATGAAAGTCTAATTCAGCATTACAAATTTAAGCTTGCATTATCATACTTGATTTGTTCAAAACATGTACGTGCATATAACATGATCACACAATCATAGAGCTGCTATAAAGGATAGTTTGTTACATTTTTATTATCCTTGACTTTGCACTAGTTTAGTTTTAGGGAAATTTTCAATTATGGACTAGGGATGTGACGTAATTATTAGTGGATTCTAAAAAAAATATATGAAACTTCAATTTAATTTAGGAGGATTGAAATGAAACTAATTTCAATGGTGAAATGATCAAAGTATCCTTCACTTATTAATTTTGTCCAAGATGCGGAATCATTAATTAGTTATCAATTTTCTTATTTTACTTGTTAATTTATCAGTTATTATAAATTACATGACTTGACATTTTGAATATCAATTGTTCAATTACAAGCAGTAATATCAGTTGTTAATTTATAATTTATAACTATTATTAGTAAATTAATAAGAGAAAATAGCAACCAAGGACTTCAGTAGTAAATTAATATTATTAGTCAAGGACCAATTGACTTCAAAATTGCAACATAGTCCCTTGATCCTTGATTGATATTAATTTGTGAGGTTGTAAGATCAAATTGCCCCTCAATTTACGCTCCATGGAAGTTGGCTGCTCGATCCCTATTATAGTCGTCAGTCCGGTCACGATGAAAGTCGGCTGTTTGGTCTCCATCATCCCAATCAATTTGATCCTGGTGAAAGTCAGCCGTTCAGTCTCGATGGAAGTTGGTCATCCTATCCCCATCGTCGCATCTGTCTGGCCTTGGTGGAAGTAGGCTGTCTAGTCCTCATTATTGCCGTCAATTCAGTCCCATTAGAAGTTAGCTGTCTGGTCCCCATTATCTTTGTCAATTTGGTCTCATTGAAAGTCGACCATCCAGTCCTCGTCGTTGCTATTGATCCGGTCCTAAAAGAAGTCGACCATCTCATCCTAATCAATGGTGGTAGCTTGTTTCCATCAACTTTGGTGGTTTGGCCCAATTACCATTAGCAAGTCGCTTAAGCCTTCATGCATTTGGGTCAAATTACAAAAGAGCTTGAGTTAAGATTTAAAATAATAGGGGTTTAGAAAGAATTTCAAATTATAACGAGATTAAGAGAGAACTTGGATTTAAATTTGGGTAAAATTTAAATTCATACATTTTTAATTATCTAAGCAATGAATTTGACTCAAATGCAAATCTAAATTCAAATCCATGTATATCCAAACATAACATTAAATAAATCAGGAGAATGACACATAAGGACCGTGGAAAGAAATTAATCATTAAATAATGAAGGACTATAAATTTTTAAAATCACAAGGAAGGATCAAGGCTTAAAAAAGAAGAAGTAAATGGGTGAAAAATGCATTTATTAGTTTTGACACATAATCCAAATTACAGAAGATCAATTAAAAATATAGAAATATTAATTGTGAATGTTTGAGTATAAAGTTGAGAAGTTTTTTTGAAAGCTCACTTGCAAATGTTGCAAGTTCAATGAAAAATACTCCATTTGGTCCTTATAAATAAGACATTTTTAATCGTTTCATGTATCTTAAGAAAAGTTAATTTTTTTTTTGATATCATAAAAAATTATATGTACTTTCATTTTTATCCTTAATTATAAATAATGATATAGCTATATTAAATACCGTCACACTAATTAAGCAAGAGTAAAATTGAAAAAAGTAATTTAATTATTGTAAAGTGTTCTATATTTTGGACTAAGAATTACTTCTAGAAGGTATCCTATAAAAAGGACCAAAGGGAGTAATGAAATTAAGATTAGTTGCAAATGATTGTTTAATTTAACTTTTAAGATTTCTAAAACTTTAACAATCTATAAGTGGTTTGCAACTGATTAATCTTCCTCTATTTCTAGTTCTGAGCTTCTAGAATTTATGAAGCTTCGACAATTTATAACTCATTGGCAAGAGATTTTAATTTCTAGATTTGCAATTGAACTTTTCCGATTTGGAATTAATATTTTGCCATTTGCAATTGAGCTATGTGTTAATCACATATTTAAAAATTCATGGTGCTATAAAATTTTAGATCGTACATTTGCGTATACTTCTGACTTTCAATTCTCTTTTAATTTATAAATTTGTGCGCATAGTTTTTCATTAAATAAATTAAAGCATTATTTCCATCAATGACAAAGAACCCCGGCTCTTAATTTTTTTTTTTCTTTATAACAGATAACCATAACACTTTGTACTATGGGCAGATAACCCATTATTGATGTGCTATTATAAAATTAAAAGCAGGAACTTCAATGCTAAATTTCGACAATAAATCATCTGCACATGATAGAATCCTATGATTTTTTTTTTTAAGTCAAACTCCCAATTTCAGTATATAATAAGAGTAATCTTGGAGTAAGTTATTCTTATTATTATTTAATTGTTTCTCAATAAGAATAAAAAAATAGTGGAATGACTAGAAGTCAATATTGAATACGCAGAGTAAGCCAATAGCTTGTGATATCTAAATCTAGAAATTCTGGAGACCTGAGTATTTAGCAAAACTCAACGCCTCTTCTGGAAAAAGCTAAGTCTAATTAACTAAAACCATTCACAGTATGTTTCTTGCTGCATTCTGTGCCGCTGGAGATTGTAACCCTACGACAAAAATATATTTCATTCAATCTTATTTATAAGTTTCTTTCAGTATATTTTATTAAAATTAAAAAAAATTTTAAATATTATAACTTTGTTTTAAAATTTATACTAGTAATAAGTTTTTAACTTTATCTCTATTAAATATGCATGCGTTAAAAATAAAATATTTTAATATTTAATAATTTTTTTGGCATTCAACAAGGAAAAATAAGGTAAAGATGGATATAAAAATTACAAAAATACTTTATAAATAAGAACAAAAAAAATACTCTTTCTTTACCCTAAAAATCCTAAAAAAGACTAGAGAAGTAATCCCTTGATGAAAAAAGTGACAAAAACAGCAGTTAATAAATCCAAACTAGTTTTGAAGTTTCTCTCTGTCAGCATCTGTAATCAATCATATGAATGTCATATCATCATTAGGAACGTGGGCGTTTAATTCAAATTCAGGGCAAAAATAAATCTAAACGAAGATCCGCTTTCGTCTGCGTCGCACCCGGAGGTCCTTATTTCCCACACAAAAAGACAATCCGAAATTAGAAGCAACCCATAATTAACTCAATTCATAAAGTTGTCAAATAATTTTGCTTTGAATATATCTACGTACGCGGTTTTGATTGGTTAAACAAATGCTGGTCAAATATTCAGCCATCAAAACATTACTTTGTGATGCAAGTCATATAGAAAAACCAGCTAGCTGTGAATGAGAACTAGCTAGTCGGGTATGTGCAAGATGGTTCAAGTAATTAATAAAGCATACCCATTAATATTATACTGTATTGTGATAATTATCACGAGCACGAAATGCGCTATAGCACATTGCCTCCACTCTGGCTTGCTTGAGCCAAATTTGTTGTATATATTCTTTCATGCATATACTTAGTTATAAATACAGACACGTAAACTTCGGAGAATCCTCGTCCTCCACACTTCACCACTCTCTTTCTCTTTCAGTTTCCTGGGCTCTTCAGGGAACTAGCTAGAATACTGGTAGAGTACTTCTGTCTGTCCTTTTTATTTCCGACTTTCTCGTTAAGATATCTAAGCTTTTAGAGAATTTTTTCCTGTGTGTGTTTATTTTGGTTTAACATATTTGAGAACTTCGCCAACCAACATTCCGCTACCCCATACTGTGGATTGGTCCTCATATACTTGTCTTTGTATTTGTCCAATCCAAATTACATGATCATTTAAGAGATTGCATTTCATTTTCAGAATTACAGTTGAAATCGGACAGAGTATATCATTAAACATAGAAGATGAAGCGGGCCACTTTCCAAGTGGTTCTTGTTGGAGTTTTGGCTTGCTTGAGTGCTCTTCATGTTGGAGCTGAAGACCCGTACAGGTTTTTTACGTGGGAAGTGACTTATGGAACAATTTATCCCCTGGGATTTCCTCAACAGGTTGCCTATAATTTCTTATTTAATTCTGTGACATGTGTTAATTATTCTCATTATATTAGAAGAAGTGGATCTGGATTAATGGTAATGTATGATCCCAGGGCATCCTTATCAACGGCCAATTTCCAGGCCCTACTGTTGAAGCCGTCACTAATGACAACATCATCGTCAATGTCATCAATAAGCTCGACGAACCGTTTCTAATCACCTGGTTAGTCCTCTATTTAACCAACAAAACTAAAAAAGAACTTTATGATAATATTGAGTTAAATTTAAATATTACGAGAAGTAAGAATGTAAAGGGTGTGTAACCCTACAGGAATGGTATACAACAGAGAAAGACCTCATGGCAAGATGGAGTGCTTGGGACAAACTGCCCAATTCCTCCAAACAGCAACTGGACCTACAAATTCCAAGTCAAGGATCAGATTGGCACATACAATTATTTCCCCTCCATCAGACTCCACAGAGTGGCTGGTGGTTTTGGTGGCTTCAACATTGCCCAAAGGTCTGTGATCTCTATCCCCTACGACGCACCTGCCGCTGAATTCACCCTCCTCGTCTCTGATTGGTTCAAGACCAGCCACAAGCTCCTCGCCCAGCGCTTGGGTGCCGGCCTCACTCTACCTTATCCCGACGCTCTTCTCATCAATGGCCAACGATCCTCTTCTGTCTTCACAGGTCAACCTGGGAAGACATACAAGTTGAGGGTATCGAATGTGGGAATAGCAACGTCAATCAACTTGAGGATTGAAGGGCATGCGATGAAGCTGATTGAAGTTGAAGGGTCACACACGATGCAGGAAATGTACGACTCGCTGGATGTTCATGTGGGCCAATCTGTGACTGTTCTGGTCACTCTTAATGCCTCCCCTAAAGACTACTACATCGTGGCTTCTGGCCGATTCATCAGGAAAAATCTCACAGCTGTGGCAGCTCTTCGTTATGAAGGGTCCAACATCAGGCTTTCCGGCCCATTACCCCCAGCTCCATCTTTCCAATTCCATGGCTCCATGAAGCAGGCCAGGACCATCAGGTACTCAGAGGCCCATATAATATAACTTTTTTATTTACCAAAAACTATTTTTTTAAAAAAAAATACTTATGTTTTATTTTTGTCAAAACTCGTCAGGAATTTTTTTTTGTTTGGGAGAATAACAACTAAAAATCTCTATCAAATCAAGATTTTTTTAAAAAGATCTTGAGAGCTTTATAATATAAAAAAAAAAAAAGCCTTGAGATTCCGATGTGGCATTAATTTATTTTATGATGTCCTTAGCTGTCATTCTCCATTTTTGTTTTAAAAATATGGGACAATAAAATTTTTGGTCCCTTAAATTTGTTTCAATTATCAATTTTATTGTTGAAATTTAATATTTATCAATCAATAATCCTTAAAATTTCATAAGCATACACAATCAATTCTCTGGGATTTGTTTTTGCTTCAAGGCACAAGGACTAATTGTGCATGATTATCAAACTTTAGGAACTTAATTGATATAAAATTAAAATTTAAGGATCGAATCAAAAATTGAGACAAACTTGAAGAGTAAAAAATTTCATCATCCTTAAAAATAAAAATATAGGGAAGATTGAATCTATTTTCTTAAATAAATAAATAAAATTCTAAAATATCTTGCGAGACATCAAATGACCTTAAGCTGATTAACCTTGCTCGTGTATGTGGAAAGATGGAATCTGACAGCAAATGCTGCCCGGCCTAATCCACAAGGGTCATACCACTATGGAACCATTCCAGTTGCGAGGACAGTCATATTGGCAAATTCCAAAGCCAGTATTGATGGAAAGCAACGATTTGCTGTGAATGGAATTTCCTACGTAAATCCAGACACCCCTTTGAAGCTTGCTGATTGGCTCAACATTTCCGGTGTCTTTAACTTGAACACGATCAAAGACTTCCCTCCTTCTCCTGATACTCCTGCTACTCTGGGCACTTCCGTCTTAGGATTCACCCTTCATGACTTTGTCGAAATCATTTTCCAGAACACCGAGCACAATCTTCAGTCTTGGCATATGGATGGATCAAGCTTCTTCGTTGCCGCGTACGACGTTCCTCTCTCTCTCTCTCTCTCTATCTATCAATATAAATAATTGCAGTGAAACTGCATATGACTATATACTGATTGAATGATAATCCTATGATGTTGATCAGGTATGGTTCTGGCACGTGGAAACCTGAATTGAGAAGACGCTACAACTTGGTTGATGGTGTTTTTAGACACACTGTTCAGGTGAGTGAAACTAGATAAGATTTAGATTATTTGATTTTGGTGTTTTGATTGCTTTCTTAACGAATGGATGGATGGATATATAGGTGTATCCAAAAGGTTGGACAGCCATTCTAGTGCCTTGGGACAACAAGGGAATGTGGAATTTGAGGTCTGCTGTATGGTCAAGCCGATACTTGGGACAGGAATTGTATCTAAGAGTGTACAACGATGAGAAAAGCCTCTTCACTGAGACTGACATTCCTCCTAATGCACTGTTTTGCGGCAAAGCTAAGCCGCAATAGTTCCTTATTAATTAGTTACTCATAATTAAGGACTTAATTATTCCTGCTTGATTAATTAGGTTGGTGTGTGACTTCGAATTCATTCTTAATATTTTCTTTTAGAGATTCCAGTTACGAGGGGGTGACTGTACGTCTACAAATTTACCAAGAGACAAGGGGTTTCGGATGCATGTTGCAGCTTGTTATGATTCCTTGTCATTGTATTAATTTATTTGATTATTTCTTGGAATGATTATAAATGAAGTTTTCTTTTCACTCTTATAACCAGTTTCCAGTATCACTTGCTGCGCAATTGCCAAATTTAGATTCAAGTTAGCTGATTAATATCGTTTGACTTTTTGAACTACTATCTGTACCTTCGAATCCTATGATGTGATAAATGGATGGAATGGGTCTCAATAATGGAAATTTTAATACTATCATTGGGACGTACGTTTTTTTTTTTTTTTTACCAACAGCGTACATTATTTTTCATAAATAAACAGCTATAGACAGAAGATAAGAGAGAGAAAAATATATAAATTAAAATCAAATAGTGTGGTTATGGATGTTATCATTGGAGCTTAATTAATATTAGATAATCTATAAATATCTCCATAAACACTCAACTTTGATACTTTTCTGGTAAGTGCTGGGAATTCAACTTAATTTTTTTTTTTACACTAAAGTATATATGCTGAAACGACATGACTTGAATTGATTTGAAAATAGGAGCAGCTAGCGGGGTAAAATCAAAACGAATGATTGATATGTTCAAATCATTTGGTTTCAACCCACCCTACCTCACTTGTAAGTGTTAAGCCATCATTTCAATCTAGGCGTAGGTGAGTGGTTTCTTTTGAGATTCCAAGATGGAGCCCGACACACTGTTTTAAGTTCTTGCAAAACCCTACACACTTTGACCCAATTAATTAATTTATTTAGAATTAAGAGAAAATCCGGCTACTTCAAGCATGATTTTATGGGGTTTTATACTTAATCTTATTTAATTAAATTAAACCGTAGGGATAGGTCTTCACTTCGATGTCATAAGGCTACGAGTTGAGATTCTTACAACCAACAGCAACAATAATCTAATAAGCTGTTTGAGGAAACTCTTCTCCAAAGGCTGCTTTAACTTTACATTCATCGATTTCTCGCAACAAACAAAATCTTTTGCATATGCCACCCACCACACGCGCCCCCACTATCTTCACCTCTTCTTATACATCAAATCCCAAACCCTAGTTACACTTTCCGAGTTTACCAACATGATAGATTCTTCTACACAGACAAGCTTCAATTTACTTTATTTCTCGTATAAAATATATAGCTTTAGAAATAACTAGGAACTAAGATTATATGGTTGGATGCTGATTATGAAGCCACACGACACATATATAAAGAGAGAGGGCGGGGGGATAAAGTTTTGAAAAGGAAAAAAACAGATTCACATCGATAAATCAAGAGATCTGACGACTGATAAGTAGCATCGAGAAACACTCCGCTTTTACTATTCAATTCTAACACTCTCTGGTCCTTGTGAAGAGAGTTTAACCAAACACACATTAAGCAAACAAACCCAAGAAAAGGGGGAAGAAGATGCTACAGCCATATCCATATTAATTATACCACCCAAACCAAACAACCACAGTAGAAACAAATCCTAAATTACAAAGCTTTTCTGATGGGAAGAAAATTAGAGATCTAAACGCTGAACTAAAAAGAGAAATTATAGTATGGTTACGGATGAGCACCATTGGTCGTGGGAAGATCAGACCAGAAAAGAGGTTGATTCCAGTACCCCAATCCAATTCCGCTTCCATTAGCTGGAGTTGATGATGACTCCAAAATGGCTACAGAGGAAGATGATGATAAAGAAGAAGAAGCCATGTTGCTTAGAAACGGCGATGATGAGTCGTCACTACAATAGTTAGCCGAAGAAGAGGACCTGAGCCTCTGGTAGAGTTCTTGGATCCCACTGTTCTGGTGTTGGTGCTCGCCAAATACAAAGCCTCCATTTTGTGGCTGATCGAGATTGTTGTTTCTCCAGAAAGAGCTCGTGAGACCGAGTGAAGGATCAAAGCCCGAGGTTGCAGGAACATTCAGAAGGCCATTAGAGCCCATTGGTTCAGTCACCATGTGGGATCTCATCAAGTTCCCTTCTTCCTTCGGATTCACAGCATTATTAGGCATGAGATTGTTTGGACAAGGGCTAGGGTTAGGGTTCTGGCTAGCTCTCAGCAAAGCCAACAGGTGAGAATTTTGTGGCGAGCCCCACAAAATTGGGCTTGCCGGAAGATCCGGATGATCGAAGACGCCGCCGCCACCAAGTCCTGATGACCTACTTCCAAGCTCAGACGCAGCCGTTTTCACCTTACCCACGGCCCCACTCGTCTTCGCCACAGAGTTGGTTGACGCGCTGACGCTCTTGTTTTTCCGGCAACCACCTCCGATTGGAACGTTTCTTAGAGATCCTCCTTTGGTCCAGTACCGGCGACATGTCTTGCAGAAGTGGCGAGGCTGAGTGAGATTGTAGTTGTTGTAGTAACAAAATTTTGTGTTTGATGAATCGCACCGGGGACACCTCAAGTTCTGGTTTTCTGAATTTGACGAGGCAGCGGCGGGGGCAGCAGCTGGGGTAGCGGCGGCAGCAGCGGAGGTGGTGGCAGTGGTGGTGGAAGAAGGTAGAGGAGGAGATGGTATGTGAGGTGCAAGAACACCAGCGGCGTTAATGGAGATTTTCCTTTCTCCCGTTGAAATGAAACCAGAAGAACCGCCCAACAGTTCTTGGATCATCTTCTTCGGTGGTCTTTATCTTTGCAGATCTACAACAATCCAAAAACACGAAAAGCAAAAGGGCGAGTCTTTTTGTGTTAGTGGGAGAAAAGCAAAAGAAAGTGGGTTTTCGCTGTGTGTGTGAATGTATATATGCTTGAGTGGGAGAGAAGTGTAGATATAAGGAGTAGATCGATTATATATATGTGATGACTCGCCCATGGGAATTCTATTGGTCTTCCTTGTTCTTTTTATAATGTTATTAGTACAGCTTCTGCGTCATCGGTCAGGTTCCTTGTTGATGCAAAAGAATACATGTACACACAAAAATGGAGAAGGAATTATATTGGAGGCTGCTGAAGAGGGCGAGAGAATGCGTGTAAGAGAGATCAAAGGCGTGTTGATTCTGTTTTTTTTTTTTTTTGGTTTGCTCTCAAAATAAGTTTGTTGAACAATTTTTGAAAACAAAAATTGAAAAGAAAATCTTTTTAATTATTATTCTGAAAAGATAAAAAGAATTATTTATTTGATTAACAAAATGGTAATATTTTTTGAATTTTCTCTAGTTAATTTGCAAAACAAGAAGCAACAAAACATTTCAAAAAGGCCAAAATATACTTTCGGCTCTCTAATTTTACATAAAATTTTATTTTTATTTTTTAATTTTATAAAATATATTTTTAATCTTTTAATCCTAACATTTTTGATTTTAAATAATTTTTTATGTCAATTATTATTATTTTAAAAAAATAAACTTAATAAATTAACATTTAAAAATATCTTATTAATCTTTAAAAGTTTAATGTAAAATTTTTGTTGTTATAAAACTAACGGTGTTAGATTAAAAGAATAAAAATATATTTTTTAAAATTAAGAGATAAAAATAAAACTTTATATAAAGTTAAAGAATTAAAAGTATATTTTAGTCTTAACAAAATTTTATTTTTTTAATTTTTTAAACTAATTTTTAACTTTTTTACTGTTCTGTCAAAACAGCTGGCAAAAACCCAAAATGTGTTTTTACAGAAGCTGTTTTCACCGCACTTTTACTATTTATTTTTTAAATCAAATTATACTAATATAATTATCTTTTTCTTTTTTAAAAAAATTAAATTCAAACCATTAAATTCGATCAAATGGTCTCTCCACCTAGCTCGAAGCCGCTTCTTATTATTTGGGTTAGGGCTATGCAGTGAATAGATAAATTTAAATTTAAATTTAAATATAATTTTTAAAATGTTTATCATGAGAAATTTTAACAGGAATTTTAAAAATTCCATTTATTTTTTATTGTAATATTTAGAAGTTTAAAAAAAGATAGTTGCCCACATATTTCAACTTCATTGCCATAACTCTAACTCACATTGTTTAATTCAAATTTGAATTCAGTTTGGAACATATATATATATATATATATATATATCCATGTGTGTTACACTTGTCTCTCCTTATCTTAGAAGTGTCCCCCAACCTCTTTTCAATCTAACCGAATGTTCATTACGCTGCTTAGCAGGTTTGGATAGAGAATGATTGTTTCCCGCCTTTATTGACCATGATAGATAATCAATTTAGAAATTTGTGAAATGGTGAAGAAAACATTTCAAGCCGTCTAAAATAGGTAATAAACAAGGTGAAATGACGTGTTTAACCTGCTAAATTAGTGAATTGAACTGATACTTTTTCAAAAAAATTATTTTTATTATAATTAAAATAAACTCAACTTAAGGGAGCCAACCCATGATCAGTAATGTGAATTAATATATTTAACACAAATGGCGCTCAGATTTCTTAAGGGATTAATATCATGAGGATACCTTGGACAACCATAAAAAGAAAAAATATATATATTTTTAATTATTTTGATGAAAGCCAACTTGTTTAACTCGACAACTTTCGAGGGTTTAATTAGCTGCCTATTTATCCCATCCTATTTTTGTTTTCACGGCGTTACAAACATTAAGGTGATTGATTTGAGTGAGTAGTTGCAAATTGCAAATGTTTCAAATTATTGTGTCTATGTGTTGGAATATTATATTCGACTAGAAGTAGCTAGTGGTCCTGTGGGAGCTTGTTCCTGAGAAGATAATTTTTTCTCAAAATCCATTATTACCGTGATGATTCAAATAGAAGCCAGAAGTGTTAATGCAGTGATTATTGAGAGAGAGATATACTCAAATTCTATCAAACGTGCGGGCTATATATATATATATATATATATATGCAGAGTCAATGGTGATTATTAATCAATGTAAGGGAAAGACATAATTTTGGCATGTCCCACACAGTACTAATGAATGCCAATAAAACCTCATCATGATTTTCTAGGCATTCAAACAGTCTGATTTTCCACCGGGCGCAACATCAATTATTGATTATCTTTTCTATTATGCGTTGATGTTCTGTGGCTATTAATCATTTCCTTCTTCGCTAATTGTTAGAAGCCTGGTAGTGGATTCGTGCATGCGTAATTTGATTAAATGATGACATAGTAATTAATAATGGAGTTTTGTGAGAGAAGAGTTGTTAGTTAATGCTTGATTTTGTTGTGGTGGGAGATTTTTTTTTTGGGTTAGTGAAAATGATGTGAGAAATCATGATTATGAACTAAGGAGAGAGCAAATCACGTGGAGGCACGTGTAAAGCTGAATTAATGTCCCTTATACCCACAAAAAAAAAAAAAAGAATTAATGTCCCTACTAAAAAGCCAGTGCCCGACATTCCAATGTCTCATGGCCATCATCAATTTATTGGTAGGTTACATTCGACTCTCATTAATGTTGATTCAAACTTAAACTTCCTCATCAATATCAGAGGTTGCAAATCAATTATAGTACCATTTATTTGTTTCATTTTTCATCTTGTTATCTGTTGATTTTTACGTGATGATCTCATTTTTCTTTAAACTTTAACTTAGTATATAATCTGAGAAAACTGTTATGCCACTTCTTTCCCTTCTTTAAACTTTGACTTAGTCTATAATTTGGTCATATCATGCATACATTTTAAATATGCTGAAACGTAGAGTGCGAAAAATTATTAGTAAGATTTATGATTTATAAATAATATAATTTATGTGTCATAAACTATATACTGTTTAGAGATTATTGCTATGAGTCTCATGTCGAGGAGTTTAATAAGTCACAAGTAATATATAATTTAAGAGGTTCTTTCACTTGATTATAGATTAGTCTTTTGGAATGAATACTCTTTTTAAATTTGTGCTAATCAAGAGGCTAAGTGAAGTATGTAATGGAATAAAGTTGACGGGGCATTGGCTCATGAAAGGGGAGTGTTGATATAAGTCATATATTAGGAAGGCTGCTTATAAGAGAGAAGTAAAGTTTATAAATTTAAAGAGGTCAATATAATGTCCATTCTCAAATAAGGGTGCGTTGTTATGGAAAGCCTTGCAATAATCCAAATGTACATAAGTTCAAGAATTTTCTCACATAATAGGCTAATATTTTAAAATGAAAAAATTCACAACCATTAAAAAGTATCCTTTCTTAATTTTTTATCATATTATTCTTTCTTAATTTTTTGAAAGATTTAGGAAATATTTTAAGGAGTGCTTTTAACACATATTTTTAAGGATATAACCGTATTTAATCTTAATATTAAAGATATTTTCATAATAACTCTGAATTTTATTTTTCAATATCAAAGTAATTATATTTATTTCAATATTAGTTAATTTTACGTATCTATTATTTAATTCATTTTAAGTTTAAATTTTATGAAAAACATAATATTTAATTCCTATAGTTTCATTAAGCTGGTTTTAATTTTAGTCCTTATAGTTTTTTTTTAATGTTTTCAATCTCTATAGGGATTAAACTACTAAAAAATGAAAATTATAAAGACCTGAAAAACAAGGCTCACTTATTTTTTTTTAAATTATAGGGACTAAAAATATTAAAAAAACTGCAAGGACTAAAAATAAAACTTGATAAAATTATAAGGACCAAAGATTATATTTTTCCTAAATTTTAATAATATATATATATATATATATATTGTTTTAGTGAACTTTGGCTTCACCAACAAGCATATAATTCAACTGGTAAGGGATTGTGCTAGCTAACTTATTTTACTTGAGTTAACTCATGAATAATGGATAATTGTATAAATAAAATAAAATAAAAGTTTGGTTTGCTTCTTAATATATTGATATATTGAGGTGTGTTTGCTTTGACATCCTCAAATGTGTAAATATTTCCCTAGCCAAAAGCAATTATTTGTTGCATCTATAAGGTCTTTTTTATCGATCCACATTTAACTTCAAAATCCAAGGTAATCTTAAGACTAATCCAATTGAATTATCAAGTCTATAATTTCATCAATGGGATTCCAAACCTTCAAACCTATAAAACTCTTAAATATCATCTGATAAAATAAAATTAAAGTAAAATATGATTATGGAAGTATGAGATACCAAAAAGTTTCAAAGCATTTGCATTTAAGGTGAAAAAACATCATCAATGTTGAAAACAAGAGGTGCACCATGGCATTCCTTTTGTGCACCGTGGCACATCCTTCTCTGTGCTATTGTCCATGGTGCATTACATAGAATGATAGCTTACTAAACTTTGTCTGAAAATTTATTCACTCTTAAATAATATAATATATCTATTCATATACTCATTTGATTATATTTATAAGTCACTTTCAATATATTTTATTGAAACTAAGGAACTTTAAAACTTATTAACTTTATCTAAAAATTTAATAAGTTCTCAACTTTGCCCCTATTAAATATATACATAATTTAATAATATAATTTTTCTAACTAACATTTAATGGAAGGTAAAATAAAAAATTTATGATAAAAATTTAATGATAATATGATTTATAAATAGAACAAAAACACTTCACTTGTGAGTAGTACAAGATGGAGTATTCTTATAAAGTTTTGTATTATCCATAAATTATAAACAAATCTTATCTCATATTTCCTGCAAACATAATACAAGTCTGGTCTTGTATGAGTTACATGATTTATATATAAGAAAAACATAATCTTTAATCTCTATAGTTTTAACTTCTATAATTTTTTTCCAGTGTTTTTAGTTTTCACATGGACTAAACACTGAAATATAGGAATTATAAGACTTAAAAAATCAATATTACCTAATCTTTTTAAAACTATAGAAATTAAAAATACTGAAAAAAGTTATAAAAAATAAAATTAAAATTAATAAAATTAT